CTGTCGGAGTCGGTGGCCGTCTCCCCCGGCCAAGAGCAGTCCATTTTCCGGTGGATCATGGGCGACGTCGAGGACCCGTCCATGGGAGGCCTTAACCGTGCCCTCCCCATTGGCGGCGACGGCGGATCCTCCGCGCCGGAGCTCGATTTCAGAGGCGGCTTTGCGTCGAACGTGGATCAGGGTTTCAGCTCCGGCGAATACTTCATGCCCGCGGCCCCAAATTTCCCCAACAACAGCAGATCTTAAAAGAACAACATCGATTTGTCCTCAAATCCGACCATTAATTCGAATTTGAAATTTTCTCAGAATGTAATGCAAAAATAAATTGATCCCACATTGATGGCTTTTGTTCGTTCTGATTTCGATTTTTTATCCCCAATTCGTTTTTTTTTTTATTTTGTTTAATGAAATATGATGTCGATTTTATATTTTTTTTTCTACTTTTTTAATATTATTTTTGCCTAGTGTCAAAATTGATGGGCCCAGCTTGTAACACATCATGAGCTGACAAGAAATTCCGGGATGACTAAGCGCCACATCAGCTGCTCCGGGAGCCACATCAGCAAAATGGTCACCGGAATGTGATTTTGGACCAAAATTGCCAAAAAAAAAAGTTAGTGTACCATTTATAAATCGGAAACAAATAAAGGACGAAAGTGCAACTAGGAGAAAGTTAGAGAACTAATAGTGCAATTTTTCCTATTATTAATTAATAATCTAGATAATAATCTAGATTCATACATTTTATTAATATTATTTAGCTAACTTAGGTATTTTAATATCACTTGTACTAATATAACCCTTTAATTCTTTGCAATTTTACATAGTGAGGCACTAAGTGTTCAATATATTCTTGACTTTTGATATTCTTCCTTCAATTAGCTATTGAATTGTAAATGTATTTTAAAAGTTGATAATTTTTATATTTATTAACGGTTTTACATATATAATATATCAAATTAATCATCTTTTGATGATCTTCGCTTTGACATCCATATTGTATTTATGAAATAAATAAATTATATTTATCTTTATAATGATAAAAAATAAAAATATTTATTAAAAGTTATTAGAAAAATAAAATTTCTTCTCAATTGATATATTTATGTTTAATGTAGTTATATGTTGTAAGTTAAAAAAATTATTATAATATAACACATGTAAGTCGCACAAATAAAAAATGTTATACTAAATATATAATATATATATATATATATTATAAAAAGTATTTAAATTTTAAACTACCTTTTCTCATTAATTTTAGATTTTAAGAAAAAAATTAGCAAACATCCGTGTAATACACGGGCGTTGTACTAGTTTGTTATATTAATGAATGATATTCCCTAAGATTTTTTTGACTTTTTAAGATTTTAAAAATTCTGGTGTATTCAATTTAAATTTGTTAATATTTTTGAAGACTTTTAAAAATCTTTGAGTATTCATTTGGGATTTTCAAAAGTCTTACGAATCATGAGTACTTAATTTATTTCACATAAAAATTTATTAAGACTTGTTGAGATTTGATGGGATTTCTAAACAAAAAACCTCATACGTTCAAATCCCACTTCCAGATTTAAGATTTCAAAAATTATTCTAAAATCTAAAAATCTTAAAAGATCTCAAATCTTAAAAAATTTTAAAATATTAATTAAATTTCCAATTGAATACACCCTATATGTTTCGATTCTATATGATTTTGGTGTTCTGTAATCATATATTTGAATTAAGGTGTTTTGTAATTTGATGTGTCAATTATGGTGTTTCGAAGTTGTTTATGTGGATTATAGTCATGACCAATATGGTAAATTTAATTATTATGCAAATCAAGTTTTTTTAGGTAAATCTTTAATCTCCTCGCACCCCATACATATTTATATTTATATATTACTAAATAGGATGAAGTCTATAATTGGATCAATTAAAATTTACGTTTAAATATTATTTCTTCATTTGAAAAAATTGTATTTCTAACTAAAAATAAAAAACTATATATGAAAAATATAGCATTCTATATTTCTAATGGGCACCTAAATTAAAATGTACTTATAATCATATATTAACTATCATAAAGTTAATAACAACAAATTAAACTATCATAAATTAATTATAAATTATAAAATAGTATAAAATAATTATATGTTTTATGGAACGTCAAGGTTTGAAAATAGCGTAATGGGTTCATTATGATTTGGTATATATATTTAAAATATATATTTAAATATATTTTTTTAAATAATGATTATCTAGCTTTTCATCAATTTTTTTAATACAAATCAAATACCGTTATTGAGAAGACATTCCACTTATTATATAAAAAAAAAACCATATAAACATTTTTTTTGTATGCTAATTATATATAAAATTCATTACCATTGGTCACTTTTTCTAAATATATATATATATATATATATATATATATTTAGAAAAAGTGAGTATGTGAGACTCAATCTTAAAATGAGTATGTGAGACTCAATCTTAGCCACTCATTTTTGTTTAGATCAAAATCAATTAAAATATACATTAATTAAATAATAAAATAATATTAGTTGACTCCGACGTTGCCCGTTGACTTCCGTCGTTGACTTTTGGCATTGACCGTGACTTCCGACGTTGACAGTTGACTTTCGCCGTTGACTTGTTGCCCTGGAATTCAATATATATGAAAGTAAATATGCATACAATATCATGCATTTAATATGAACTAAATATGCATGGAGTATGAATTGCACATGTAGTCCTTATGAACTAAATATACATCAATAATATCAACTAAGTATGCACATGTTATTAACTAAATATGCATCTCTCATGAAGTAAATATGCATCATGAACGAACTAAATATGCAACGAAAATATACAATAAAAATGTACATTATATATAGATAATTTATGATGCATACTTAATTAATACGAAATGCATATTTGTTATATTTAAATTAAATAAATAATGATATATAGTTAATTTATGATGCATACATAGTTAATTCATGATACATATTTAGTTCATGAGAAATGCATATTTAGTTCATGAACAGTGCATATTTAGTTCATTTGAGATCCAATCATAACAATTAATTTGTGTAGATCAATAACTTATATAATCAATTTAAAATTAAAATTAATTATATAATAAAAATTATTAATTATTATATTCATTTTAATTGTATAAAATGTATATTTTATTATATATTTTCGTTGCATATTTAGTTCATTCATGATGCATATTTAGTTAGTAAAATGTGCATATTTAGTACATAAACAGTGCATACATAGTTGATATTATTAGTGCATATTTAGTTTATAAGGATTACATATATAATTCATATCTTATGCATCTTTAGTTCATATCAAGTGTATAGTACTACTGTATGCATATTTACTTCATACATAATGCATACTAGGGGTCAACGCCAGAAGTAAACAGTCAATACCGGAAGTCAACGCCAGAAGTCAACGATCAACGACAGAGTTAACGGTCAACGCGAGAGTCAATAGTCAATTGTCAAAATAATATTTAAATAATTAACATAATAAAAATAAAGATTTAAATAATATAAAGAAAGAATTATTATTTAAATGAAGAACTAAATCTTACATCATGTACCAATCTAGTGGCTAAGAATGAGTCTCACATGCACACTTTTAATAAGTGTACTCATTGGATCCAATCCCTATAAATTTGTCATAATAAATATAACACTCATAGTAGACCTATAGAACTACAAAATATATATTTCTAATATTTATATAAATATCATTTTACCATTGGTATTTTTTATAGTTATTTTACCCAATATTTAATGCTTAGTTAGAAAAAAGAAGTATTTACCAAAATATTGGGGTGGAAATTTGGGAAAATACAGCCGGGGGTAATTCAGTAACTTCAGCTCCTCACATTACCCTCATTCAATCAGCCCATTCCCCCACACCTGAACCGTTGTCCAATCTTACTAAATCAGCTAACCATGGTTAGGTCTAGATGACAATAATACCCCTCATCTACACACAAATCAGGGAAGAAAAAATTATCTCTACCGCTTTAAAGGGGTTGGCCCCCAAACCTAAACCAAATGGAAATTGTCAAATTGCGTGAAAATTTGTTCTAAAAACACACACACACACACAAACACACGCGCACACACAAACACACTTGCCTAGTGTGAGGGAATTTGGGTGTGGAAATAATCTCCGGCAGCTTCGGAAAAATCACCGGCTGTCAGATCGATAGGGGCCCTACCATTTGGCGCCCTAAATTCCATCGTTTTTTTCCGCTATTTTTTTATGATCTTTTAGAATATGGATTCATGCGATTTGGGTAAAGCGTATATATAGTGGAGTTTGAATTTTGGGATTGGTACTTTTGGGAAAGCAACTTTTTGACTCCATTGCCGGCTTCATCTGTCAGAAGGGTTCTTTAGTTGGATTGTGTTGATGCTGTGGTTTTTGATCTTTTTTTGGGAGATCTGAGGTGTTTTGGTGATTTTTGTGGAATTGGTGAGTGTTCTGAGGTTTTTCAAGATTGAATCATAGTTGTCCTGAACGGCAGTGTGTTAAATTTTTGTTTTTTTATTTGGGGTTGAAGCTCTTTTGCTGACATTACGAGCTGGATCGACTTGTTGTAGGTTTTGCAGGACTTATGTGAAATTTCCCCTGCTGGGTCTTCTTGCGGCCAATAGTGTTGGGTGAGCTGGGTGGGTGTTTTCTGGGGGAGTTTTTTTCCCCTGAATTCTTCTATGCAGTCCGGTGGTGGCCCCCAGCAAGGGGGAGGCGGCAGCCATGGCCGGGGTACAGCTGCATCGGCATCTGCCTCGCCTTCATCTTCTTCGTCTGCCGTGTCTGCATTTGAACAGCAGCAAAGACAGCAGCTGCAACAACAACAGCAACAGAGACAGGTTTGATTTAATTAGATTATTAATGATGGTGTTATCTCTGTGGAATTCTTGTATTGTGTTAACTGATGTTAAATGGAGTTAGAACTACTATGGCTTTTATTTTATTTTATTATTGTTATTTTGGTTGGGGGCTGGAAAGAGTTGTGCCCTTTTTTCCACCCCCTTACTGTATTTTATAATCTTTTATCAGAGAGGGTTATGTTGAAAAAATGTTGTTTGTTTGATGCTTGGGCTACTGAGGAATTAGAGTGTTGACTTGTGACTTCATGTTTTTCCCCTCTAAATGTGGTTATAATCTAAATTTGGATTTAGTCTTTCATAAAATTGTTATGCAAAATATTAGCTTAATTAATTTTGTCATGTATGTGTTTTGCACGGGCCTCCCTTTACATCTGTGGTTGCAATATATATATTTTCAGAATTCACTTTGACATTTCGTTTTTTTGGATGATTGTGAGGGAAGCTTTTGAGGCGATTAGAATGATTGATGGTTAAGTTTTAAATGTTCTACAACTTCTCAAAAGGGCACAGTCAGTATTATTCATTGTATTATGATATTATCCCATGTAACTTGAGAATATAATTTTAGTATTTTCTTAATTGTTCTCTATTATATTTAAATCCCCATCTCCTACTCTGCCAAAAGTTCTGATTAGCACCCCATGGTTACATGGTTATGTCCCTCTTGAAATTTAAGCTTATGTATTTCAAAACACTGAATGGTTATCCAGTGTTGTTTACCAATATTTCTGACTAATAAATGCTATTTTCTTATCTGCATATTGTTTAGAACTATCCACCACTTAGAATTTTATTTCGTCCTTTGCTTCTCCCCCCACCTATCCCCATTAATATTCCCTTGTCATTGTTCTCTTTGAGAGTGGTACTGTTTTACCAAATAACTCAATTTAGAACCGTAAAATGTTGTTCCTTGGTATTTATGTTATATTATACGAAATGCTATTTGCAGTCTTTTCAACAACAATTTCTGAGGAGACCTGAAGGGAATGACGCCTTTCTGGCCTACCAATCTGGCAATTTTCACGGAGTCCCTGGGGGGCCTAATTTTGCTGCAGCAACTGGGGCCATGCAGCTACCTCAACAGCCCAGAAAGTTAATGGACATGGGACAACAGCAAGGTTCTCCCACCATTCCCGAACAAAGTCAGAACAGAGCTCAGGGTGTTGAGCAGCAAATGTTGAACCCTATCCAACAAGCTTACATGCAGTATGCATTCCAGGCGAGCCAACAGAAATCAACCATGGGTATGCAACCCCAGCAGCTGCAAATTAGACCTGGAATGTTTGGCTCCCTTAACAAAGAGCAAGAAATGCGTATGGCAAATATGAAGATGCAAGAGTTCATGTCCATGCAAGCAGCCAATCAGTCTCAGTCTCAGTCCCAGGCATCCTCCTCCAAGAAATTGTCTGACCAGGCCGCTCCAAGTGACAAACAGATGGATCAAAGTAAGCAGGCCATGGCCAATCAAAGAACTGACCCGAAACCAAACCATAATAATCTACCTGGTCAAGCAGCCTCGTCTTCACCTAAGGTGGGCCCACACTCGCAGCAAAACATCATGAACAGGACGCCAAACAACCCGGCTGCCATGGCTGCACAGATGCAGGCGCTGCATGCTCTGGCGCTCGAGCGAAATATTGACCTTTCACATCCCGCGAACGCAAATGTGATGGCTCAGCTTGTTCCGATCTTGCAGTCAAGGATGGCCCAGCAAAAGGGTAACGAAAACAGTAATAACAATATGCAGACTGCATCTTTTGCGAAACAGCACGTCACGTCGCCACAAGTTGGAAATGAGAGTTCCCCCCACGGGAACTCCTCAAGTGACGTCTCAGGGCAATCCGGATCTTCTAAGACTAGGCAGGCGGTTTCTCCTTGTACGCTTGGTGCAAATTCAAGTGCAGCTGCAGTTAATAACTCTGGCAACATGCCTATGCAGCAGTTTTCTTTGCACGGTAGAGATAACCAGTTGCCACCTAGACAACCTACCTTGCTTGGCCAAGGAATGCCGCCTTTACATCCATCGCAATTGTCTGGTAGTTTAAACCAAGGAGCCGACGGTGTACTTGCTAAAAATTCTTCTGGTGTTCTGGAAGGCTCGCAGGTGCAAAATGCCAGACAGCTTAATCGTTCTCTTTCACAGTCTGCAGCCCCATCTAGTAGCAGGGATGTAGGTAATCGTTCAACATCTCAGGGTGGCCCGACTCCCAGCACACGACCTTCGCATTCTGGGTTTACAAAGCAGCAACTACACGTACTCAAAGCACAGATACTGGCCTTTAGGCGCCTCAAGGTTTGGAGAGTTTGTTCCTTGGTCAAACTTTTTTTGTTAATGCTTTTTTTTTTTTTTCTTTTCTGATGTATCTTTGTACATTTTCTCTTGATTTTTAACACAGCTTTTCTGTTAAAGATTTTCTTTGCTGTCCTTACACTTACAGAAAGGAGATATGAGTCTTCCACGGGAGTTGCTTCAAGCTATTGCTCCCCCGCCACTGGATTTGCAGATGCAGCAGGTGTCTTCACCTCGTGTAACTGCTAGCAAGGATAAATCAGCCGTAGAGAACGAAGACAAGCATGCAAAACATATGGGTTCTGGTGAGAAGGGTCCGCAGGCTGTAAAATCAGCGACTGAAACAAGTGATATAAAAGAGGAAGGACTTGATAGGGCAGCTGTCTCAACAGTTAACATGCAAAGCTCTACAACAATGGTGAAGGATCCAAGATTTGTGGTTCCAACTGGAAAGGAAGAACATCAAAGTGTTAGTAATCCTGGAAAACTGGACCAGGAGTCTGAACTAGGCTATCAGACTCCTGTAAGGAATGACCTTGGAGATAGGGGTAAAGGAATTGCCCCAGAGCCAAGTGTTTCAGATTCAGTGCAAGCCAAGAAGCCTGTTCAAGCAAGTAATGCAACCCAACCTAAGGATACTGGTTCCGCCAGAAAATACCACGGGCCTTTATTTGATTTCCCTGTTTTCACCAGGAAACATGAGTCTCTTGGATCATCTATGATGAACAACAATAATAATTTGACTCTAGCGTATGATATTAAAGATCTCTTTGCTGATGAAGGTGGGGATATCCGTAAAAGGAAAAGGGAAGAGAAACTACAGAAAATTGATAAAATACTCGCCGTTAACTTGGAGAGGAAGAGAATTAGACCAGATCTTGTCATGCGGTTACAAATTGAGTCAAAAAAACTCCAACTTGCGGAGCGTCAGGCACGCTTGAGGCAAGAAATTGAGCAACAGCAAAAAGAAATAATGGCCATGCCTGATAGACCATATCGAAAGTTTGTTCGTCTGTGTGAGCGCCAGCGTCAGGAGCTCAATAGGCAAGCACAGGCCAACCTGAAGGCAACTAGGGAGAAGCAACTGAAAGTCATATTCCAGTGGCGCAAGAAGCTTCTTGAGGCACATTGGGCTATCCGTGATGCTCGAACTGCCCGCAACAGGGGAGTTCACAAATATCATGAAAGGTTGTTGAGAGAATTCTCCAAGACAAAGGATGATGATCGCAATAAAAGGATGGAAGCATTGAAGAATAATGATGTAGAAAGATATAGGGAAATGCTTCTGGAACAACAGACTAACGTACCAGGGGAGGCTGCTGAAAGATATGCTGTTTTATCGTCTTTTTTAACTCAAACTGAAGAATATCTTCACAAACTGGGAGGTAAAATAACAGCAACGAAAAACCAGCAGGAGGTTGAGGAGGCAGCTAATGCAGCTGCTGCAGCTGCATGTGCACAGGTAGTCTTTCTCTCTCTCTCTCTTAAAATTTCTCTTCGAATTAAATGTCATCTCAATTGTATCTTCTTCTGGATGAAAGGGTCTGTCTGAAGAAGAAGTAAGAGCTGCTGCAGCTTGTGCTAGAGAAGAAGTAATGATAAGAAATAGGTTTTCTGAGATGAATGCACCACGGGATAGTGCATCAGTAAACAAGTAAGCCCTTCTTTATCTTGATTTCTGATAATTAAATTAAGACGTCATTAAGAAACAGTTTCTGAGCAAGTAGTACACGTTTCCATAAGGTATTACAATCTTGCTCATGCTGTGAACGAGAAGGTTATTAGGCAGCCTTCTATGTTACGAGCCGGAACGCTACGAGACTATCAGCTTGTAAGTTTTCAGTTTCCACTTTCCACTCCCTATTGGCGTTTGTCCTATCAGTTAATGTGTTTTTTCTCCTTGGGAATGCTCACAGTATGGCCTACTTTTACTCATGTATGCAGGTTGGTTTGCAGTGGATGCTCTCTTTATACAATAATAAACTCAATGGAATTTTGGCTGATGAAATGGGTCTTGGGAAGACTGTGCAGGTAAGTTGGTTTTGGTTAAAATTAGTTGATACATGAAAGTGCTTGCTGCTCTTATGTACATGCCTAAAAAGAATAATATCGTCTATTTTATAAATGTCATCTTTGCTTGCCTTCCAACTTTTAAGGAATGACAGCACGTCCTTGTGTTTGGGAAGTTAATAGATTCCTGAGATTTAATTATGGGTTGCTAATACAGGTTATGTCGTTGATTGCTTACTTAATGGAGTTCAAAGGCAACTATGGTCCACATCTGATTATTGTTCCTAATGCTGTTCTTGTGAATTGGAAGGTAAATGGTTTCTTTGGGTTTGTTCAAACTGTTCTGAGTATCGTCTCTCTAACTACTTCTGATTTATGTTGTATACCAGAGTGAGTTACACAATTGGCTTCCAACTGTTTCCTGCATATATTACGTTGGCAGCAAAGACCAAAGGGCAAAATTGTTTTCTCAAGTAAGAAAACATTGTTTTTAATCTAAGTTTTTTCCTTCATTGACTTTCTTGTGCTTCAGTATTCCTTTTGTCTCATTGCTCTGCAGGAAGTGTTGGCCATGAAGTTTAATGTCCTTGTGACAACCTATGAGTTTATTATGTATGATCGTTCGAAGCTTTCAAAAGTTGATTGGAAGTATATAATAATTGATGAAGCGCAAAGAATGAAGGATAGAGAGTCGGTACTAGCTCGTGATCTTGATAGATATCGCTGCCAAAGACGCTTACTTCTCACAGGGACTCCATTGCAGGTGGAATTTTTTGTTCTCTATGTATCTATTTAACTCCAAAATTTGTTTTGTTTTGAGCTTGACAAGGAGTTCAAATGTGTTGGAGAAGCAAAATTTCTATTATCTTGTTGCTCTTCAAGTAGTAATTTAGACTTCCGAGTTAGTGGTGTTGAATTGTTACATCGTATTTCCCAGTACCCTTTTGTTTTCTGTTGGTGGTTCTCACAATTACATGATTTTCTTTTCTTTTCCTTTTTCCCTGTCCTCATGAGAACATTACTCTGATCGGTAATAATTTTATTAATCCCTAATCTAACAATCTGACTCTAGTACTCTACTTGGTTCTGTAATTCAGTCGCTCTCGGATCTCAGAAGTTTACTGCAACCGGACAAGATTATCTTTGAGTTATTAATTATTTTTCTTAGTTCATTTGTCATGGGGTTTATCTAACATGTACATAAAAAAATGTGATACTATGACTAATCCTCAAAATAAGTTGAATTCCTTTTCAGTTTAGGTCGATCCTCAAAATAAGGTGTACTTGCTCAGATTAGGGGAAATATATTTTTGGACGTGCTTCCATATATCTTTCTTTATCATTACTATTTTCCTATCTGAAATCTCGACGAGTAATCCTGCTTATCGTTGTGCAGAACGACCTGAAAGAACTTTGGTCTCTTTTGAATCTACTTCTCCCTGAAGTCTTTGATAACAGAAAAGCGTTTCATGATTGGTTCTCTCAACCGTTTCAAAAAGAAGGCCCCTCGCACAATGCTGAGGATGACTGGCTCGAGACTGAGAAGAAAGTCATCATTATCCATAGGCTTCACCAAATATTAGAGCCTTTTATGCTCAGGCGTCGTGTTGAAGATGTGGAAGGATCACTTCCTCCAAAGGTGCGGACCTTTGTATAGTAACGAGTTATCTGTGCATAACTATTCCTAATTAAATTTTGGAACTGCAGGTATCGATTGTTCTGAAATGCAGAATGTCTGCAATACAGAGCTCTGTTTATGACTGGATCAAATCCACCGGCACTATCAGGGTGGACCCTGAAGAAGAAGAGCGCAAGGTTCAACGAAACCCGCTTTACCAGGCTAAGGCCTACAAACCTTTGAACAACAGATGCATGGAGCTAAGAAAAGCATGCAATCATCCGTTGCTCAACTATCCCTATTTTAGCGACTTCTCCAAGGATTTTCTTGTGAGATCGTGTGGGAAGCTGTGGGTCCTGGATCGAGTTCTGATCAAGCTCCAGAGGACTGGGCACAGGGTTCTGCTCTTTAGTACCATGACCAAACTCCTCGATATAATGGAAGAATATCTCCAGTGGCGGAGGCTCGTGTTCAGAAGAATAGACGGGACGACCAGTTTGGAGGAACGAGAAAGCGCCATTGTGGAATTTAACAGCCCAGACACAGACTGCTTCATCTTCCTGCTGAGCATCCGAGCTGCTGGGCGGGGCTTGAATCTCCAGACGGCCGACACAGTCATCATATACGACCCTGACCCAAACCCCAAAAACGAGGAGCAGGCTGTTGCCCGGGCCCACCGCATCGGGCAAACCAGGGAGGTAAAGGTTATCTACATGGAGGCCGTGGTCGACAAGATATCTAGCCACCAGAAGGAGGACGAGTTCAGGAGCGGGGGACCAGTTGACTTGGATGATGACCTTGCCGGAAAGGACCGGTACGTGGGCTCGATCGAGAGCCTCATTCGGAATAACATCCAGCAGTACAAGATTGACATGGCCGATGAGGTCATCAATGCCGGCCGGTTTGACCAGAGGACCACGCACGAGGAGAGGCGTATGACGCTCGAAACCCTCTTGCACGATGAGGAGAGGTATCAGGAGACGGTCCACGACGTGCCCTCTCTTCACGAGGTGAACCGCATGATTGCCAGGAGTGAGGCGGAGGTCGAGCTCTTTGACCAGATGGATGAAGAGTTCGATTGGGCGGACGATATGACGAGATATGATCAGGTGCCAGAATGGCTCCGGGCGAGCACCAAGGAGGTGAACATGACTATTGCTAATTTATCAAAGAAGCCATCGAAGAACGCTCTCTACGCTGGAAATATTGTGGATTCAGCCGAGGTGAATCCCGGGACCACCGAGAGGAGGGGCCGGGGGCGGCCCAAGCGGAAGGTTCCGGTTTATACTGAGTTGGACGATGAAAATGGAGAATTTTCAGAAGCTAGTTCAGAGGATAGGAATGGTTATTCTGTTCAAGAAGAGGAGGAGGAGGAAGAGGAAGAAGAAGTTGGGGATTTTGAGGATGATGAATCTGCTGAGGCACCTGGGCAAGTTGAGAAAGCTGTTTCTGAGGAAGATGTTCCAGTTTCTGGTGATGGGTATGAGTACCAAAGAGGTGTGGACAATGTGAGGAACAATAATAGTGCGCTAGCTGAGGCGGGTTCGTCCGGGTCTTCTTCACATGGTCGGAAGTCGATGAAGATGGTTTCACCTTCGGCTTCTTCCCAGAAGTTTGGATCGCTTTCGGCTTTGGATAGTAGGTCTAACTCCCGTTCGAAAAAATTGGTATGTCTGCTAAGTATTTATTAATTCTTTTACTGGGATAATTACAAATAATACCTTTGAGTTTTAGTGAATTATTGCAGAACCCAGCTAACTTAAAAAATTACAGAGAAACCCTTGAGTTTACATTCATCTACACTTTGAACAACAGGTCGAGGAGCAATTATTGCTGGTCCCGACTAACATTTTGCAGTTGCATCGCCTCAAATTTTTAGATATTACAAATAATCCCAGATAATCATCTTACATTTAGGTTTACATCCCCCCATTTTCTAATTATTGTAGGATATGCGAACAAGTGAAGGGTTTGGAAGGTTTGGGGTTGTTATTGTAGAATCTGTCTGATCAAGTAGTTGTTGGGACAGAATATCATAAGAGTGGTTTTCTGGGAGATATCTGAGATTTTCTTATGAATACACAAATCTAATGGTAGCTTTTGTAGTTATCCATTGATATTATAACAATCTTTGCAATCTGTTATCTATCTCACATGCTACTATTTATAATTTGCAGGTGGATGAATTAGAAGAAGGGGAAATTGCTGTATCTGGAGATTCGCCTATGGACCAACAGCAATCTGGTAGCTGGGCCCAAGATCGTGATGAAGGTGAAGATGAACAGGTCTTGCAACCAAAGGTAAAACGAAAACGGAGTATTCGGCATCGACCACGGCATACAACGGAAAGGTTAGAAGACAGGCAGATCGAGAGATCTCATTTCTCTCAGTCACCATTCCAGGCAGAACATAAATCGCAAGCAAGGGATGACCGTGCACATAAAGGTCTTGGTGATACCAGTTTATTGAAAACTGAAAGACATGATTCATCTGTAAAAAACAAACGCACTTTGCCCTCGAGGAAAAACACAGCTAATGTGCTGCAGGGTTCTATTAAACCTGGGCGAGTAAGTTATGGATCTGCTCCTCCAGGTGCTGCTATTGAACATGCTAGAGAAGACAGTAAAGTCATGAAAGGGCCCAAAAATAGTGGCAGTAGGATGCCTGAGGCTATCCAGAGAAAGGTATGCTTCTATTGGAACTTTTGTTTTGTAACATCTGTTCGGAACTGCAGTTGCGTTGCTAATCCTTATTATTTTCCTTTCGCTTTTTCGTCTCATGGATTTTATAAAGATCACAACCCTTTTACTATACTGCTTTAATATTTTGAGAGTGGTGGTTTTCCGTATGTATTCTATTTTATCTGTTCTTCAATCCAAACTTCATTTGTAATCAAATTAAGTCGGATCACTGGGTGTTTGTTTCTTTCTCATTCTTCTATAATGTAATTTTGTTGCAGTGCAAGAATATTATAAACAAGCTCCAGAGAAGAATAGACAGTGAAGGCCATCACATAATACCAATGCTAACTGAACTGTGGACAAGAATTGAACACTCAAGTAGGGTTGGGGATAGCTTTTTGGATTTAAGAAAGATCCATCTCCGTCTTGACAAATCAGAGTATAGTGGCATTATGGATCTTGTATCTGACGTGCAGTTCATGTTGAAATGCAGCATGCAGTATTACGGGTCCTCATTTGAGGTATTATGATACTATGTTTTACTTGTTTTTTTAAATCAAATTTTAGTCTGCATTGTCTCAATGTACTGACATATGAGTGTATCTTGTAAAAGTAAATAAATGTGGTTATTTGATGAGAAAATTCAAAGGAGCCCATTAAATTAAGCCTGTTGTCCTTACTGGAGTTAAAAAACACTTGGTATCCAGAGAAGAAAAGAGACAAATGAAGCTAAATTTCATAAACTTCTGGCGTTAACCACGATTGTTACTTTTTTGACTGTTTTCCTTGTCTAGATCGACTGTGTAATTATTAGAGGAATAATTACTAAATTATCCAGCTTCAAACTTCTATAATAACAGCTGGAATTTTATTTTTTATTGTTCTCTTTGCGTGTGTGCGTGCATGTATTTTGTTTTTGTTTGTGAACGCTCCGTATACATTGTTAGTTAGCAAACTACAGATCTGTATGAGTTTATCTAAACAGATACTTGATCTAACGTAATAGGTGAGGTCCGAGGCGAGAAAAGTTCACGATCTCTTTTTCGACATCTTGAGCATAGCCTTTCAAGAGATGGACTTCCGAGAGGCTAAAAGTTCCATGTCCTTCGCCGGGCCCGGTGTAGGTACACCAGCCACCGGTGGCCCATCTTCCAGACAGATGCCGGCCAGTCAATCCAAGCGCCAGAAACCGGTTAAAGATCTCGATACCGAAACTACCCCTCTTCAGAAGCCCTACCAAACTCGTTCCCCAGTCCAGACTGGCGAAATCCCAAGGCTGAGGAGTCACATGCAGCAGAAGGAATCGAGGCTTGGGCCTGGGCCTGGGCTCGGTATCGTCCGTGACCCGCCTGACGACGAGCGCCCGTTCGCTCATCCAGGGGACCTCGTCATCTGCAAAAAGAAAAGGAAGGATCGAGAAAAATTGGGCGGGAAGTCGGGCAGTGGGTCAGGTGGTCCCCTTTCGCCTACTGGGCTGGGCCGTGGTATGAAAAGCCCGGGTTCAAGCCAACAGGGCCCGGCTCAGCACGGGTGGGCCGGTGCACTTTCACCCCAACAGGGTAACAATAGCAGTGGTGGTGGGTCACTCGGGTGGGCCAATCCTGTGAAAAGGATGAGGACCGATGCTGGGAGAAGACGCCCAAGCCATTTGTAAAGTTCTGACCTTTTTTTTTTTACGGTGGGTGAATTGTATGAAGTGTCGTAATTGATGGGATTTTATCAGTTTAAGTGGAATTGAGATGGTCGAATGAAGGATATTATAGTACTGTGTAATTGAGAATGTAATGGATTCTTGTACCTGGTGCCAAATGCTACCTTCCTAATTCCTATTGTTGTGGCAAAATTTTATTAGATTGGCTCAATCGGATTGTCTGTTTTATCGTGTTTCTATATATAGATTTATTTATAGTTTTTTTTTTCTTTTTTTCTTTTTTTGGTTCTTGAACTTTTAACATAATAAAAAAACTCAGCACAGCTCGTTTATAGCTTTTTTGGTAAATGAAGATGTCGATTTTTGTTTTTGTTTTCCAAATTATCCGACTGCACACAAATGTGCGTGCAAACACAAACACTCCATCTGAAGCATGTAAAAGTAGAGCTTATAAGAGGCAAGAGATCGAAATTACAGATCCATACATTACAAGCACACATTAGAGCTTGGAGACAATGTGAAACGAGTTGTAGGACAACATCACAACACGATACGTACACTTACATCACGCAAGACTTACGAATGAAGTACTATTCATTTCCACTTGCATCTGATAAGCAGCAGCCTTTGTTGACAAAACTGGGGGGCTATGCAATTAATTTGGGGGCTGTGGAGGCTGTGAAATTAATGTGGTGGCTGAGCATTAACATTGGTGGCTGGGCATTGAATTTGCAGCCGTTTTTTGCACCAATTTTGCATCATCTTACAGCTATAAATAGGAGCTGAATTTTGGAGCAAAAATAACAACACCAGAGAACAAACCAAATACAAGAAAGAAAAGAGAGAGCGAGAGAGCTATTATAAATTTAGCTTTTGTGTGTATTTGAGTTGTGAGTTGTGAGTGAGTTTGCGAGTGTTTTGTAAACACGAGTGTTTTTTCTTTTCTCCTAATAAAATATCT